TCTCTCTAGCTGCATTTAACATTCTTTCTTTCATTTCAACCTCAGAAAATCTGACAATTATGTGTCTTGGGGATAATCTTCTTGTGTAGGATATTGATGGAGTTCTCCATATTTCCTGAATTTGACTGTTGGCCTCTCTAACAAGGTTGGGGAAGTTTTCATGGATTATATCCTGAAATATATTTTCCAAGTTGTTTGCTTTCTCCCCCTCCCTTTCAGTGATTCATAGATTCACTGATTCATAGATTTGCCCTCTTTACCTAATCCCATACTTTTCAGAGGTTTTGTTCATTCCTTTTTATTTTTTTTTCTTTATTTTTGTCTGACTGTCATATTTCAGAGAACCAGTCTTCAAGTTCTGAGATTCTTTCCTTGAATTGGTTTATCCTGCTGTTAATACTTGTGATTACATTGTGAAATTCTTATATTGTGTTATTCAGCTCTGTCAGAACCACTGGTTTCTTTTTTATACTGGCTATATTGTCCTTCAGCTCGTATGTTACTTTATCATGATTCTTATTTTCACTGGATTGGGTTTTGCCATCCTCCTGAATCTTGATGATCTTTGTTCATATCCATATTCTGAATTCTATTTCTGTCATTCCATCCAGTTCAGCCTGGTTAAGAACTCTTTTTGGAGAACTGGTGTAGTTGTTTGGAGGACATATGACACTCTGGCGATTTGAGTTACTGGAGTTCTCTGTGTGTGGGTGTTCCTTTAACTCCAGTGTACACTGAGTACGGTCAATAGACTTCTTTTTTGGATGTTTTCACTGGAACAAGGCTTTGTGTAGGATCTCTATTTGAAGCTGACTTCTTGCCTCTGGCTTCAGAGGTATGTCAGTGAGGTATTTTTGGTGTTCAAGCCTTTGGATGTGATCCAGTGGGTGACACCGAGGTGTATTGTTCAGTTAGTAGACTCTTGCTCAGTTGTGTGGCTCCCCTATGTTTCCTCATAGTTGCAGCCATGTTCCCTCTCAGTTCTCTGAAAGTGTGGATTCCTCTCCCCCTTGAGTGCTGCCTGTAGCTCACAACTTGGCACTCCTGGGCTGCCCACTGTAGCTCTGGGACAATCTCAGTGTTTATGTTCCTTCCCCAGCTTACAGGCAGCAGAGGAAGAGATCTTAGGAGTGGCTGTGGCCATGGGCCATTTGGTTGTCTCCTGAGGGCTCCATCCCAGAGAGATGCAGGTCAGCAATCATGCAGTTCGGTCAGCAAGATGGAGGATTTGTGCTGTGAGTTCAAGCCAGGGGCTCCCTGTCTAGTGATGAGCCATGGGGAATGTGTGGGACTTATGGGAAAGAGACTGGCCCCCTCTCCTTAGGTTGACTACAACTTGTTGGAGGTATGGATAAGGCACTTAGGGTCTTTGCTCTTTCATTAGTCTGAGGTGGCAAGGATAGTTCCACTGCAGGGGGAGTGGCCAAGAGGCTTTCAATTGCCCCTGGAGGCTCCGTCCAGATAGTTGCTGAGTTGGTATTGGCTCAATAGCTCTGGCAGGAGGTGGCTGAGGGCCCAGGCCTGAAGGACCTGCCTGGTAAAGAGATATGGGAATAGCCACTCATGTAACAGTCTGGCCACTTTTCTGTAGGGCTGCTGTGGTATGGTTGGAGCCCACTCCAGTCTCTAGTCACCTTGGATTTTCCAGAACCTAAAGGTGTCACCAGTGAAGACTGCAAAAACGTAAAGATGGCAATCTGCCCCTCCCTCTGGAAGCTTTGTCCCAGGGAGTTACAGACGTGTTGCTGGCCCAAAGACCTCTGTAGGAAGTGGCTGGAGATCCTGGATGGGAGGTCCCACCCAATGAGGAGGACTGGGATCAGGACCTGCTTTAAAAAGCAGTCTGGCCATGTTTTGCTACAGCATCTATGCTATGCTGGGGGCCCACTTCAGCCTCCGGTCACCTCAGACACTCTGAAACCCAAAGGCTGATATGACTAAGTCACCCAAACAGCAAAGACTAAGTCACCCAAACCTCTCCCTCTGGGAGAGCTGTTCCAGGAGGAATTCAGATCTCTCTCAGCAGGAGAACTCAGGCAGGGGTGTCTGGAGGCCCTGTTTGGAAGGTCCCACCCAGTAAGTAGCAACAGGGTCAGGCACCCACTTAATGCGGCAGTCTGGTCCCATTTTGGTAGAGCAGTTGTGCTGTGCTGGGGATTCCTTCCACTCCAGGTCGGCTCAGACGCTCCAAAGCCCAAAGGCTAGAACAACTAAGTTGCCTAAACAGCAAAGATGGTGGCCTGCCCCTCCCTCTGGATGCACTGCCCCAGGGGAATTCACATCTGTGTTGGCTGGAGAGCTTGGCCAGGGGTGGCTGGAGGTCCTGGTTGGGAGGTCCAGTCGAGTGAGGAGGAATGGGATTGGGCACCTACTTAAAGCAGCAGTCTGGCCATGTTTTGGTAGAGTGGCTGTGCTGTGCTGGGGGATCCCTTCTGCCCTGAGTCAGTTCAGACACTCCAAAGCCCAAAGGCTGGAACAGCAAAGGCATCGGGGCCAGATACCCTAAACCATCTCTCTGAAGTTCAAAGTTCACACAGATGTCTAGGGCAGGGGCAAAATGCTGCCAGTCTCTTTGCTAAAGTATAATAAGAGTCACCTTTGCTCCCATTCCCAACAAGTTCCTCATCTCCATCTGAGGCCAACTCAGCCTAGACTTCATTGTCCATATCACTATCAGCATTTTGGTCAAAGCCATTCAACAAGTCTCCAGGAAGTTCCAAATTTTCCCACATATTCCTGTCTACTTCTGAGTTCTCCAAACTGTTCCAACCTCTGCCTATTACCCAGTTCCAAAGTCACTTCTACATTTCCAGGTATCCTTATAGCAGCACTCCACTCTATCAAAACCAATTTACTGTATTAGTCCATTATCATGCTGCTATGAAGAAATACCTGGCCGGGCGTGGTGGCTCACGCCTGTAATCCCAGCACTTTGGGAGGCCGAGGCAGGCAGATCACGAGGTCAGGAGATCGAGACCATCCTGGCTAACATAGTGAAACCTGTCTCTACTAAAAATATAAAAAATTAGCCGGGTGTGGTGGTGGGCGCGTGTAGTCCCAGCTACTCAGGAGGTTGAGGCAGGAGAACGGCGTGAACCTGGAATCAGAGCTTGCAGTGAGCCGAGATGCGCCGCTGCACTCCAACTCTGTCTCGCTTTGAGACAGAGCGAGAATCTGTCTCAAAAAAAAAAAGAAAAAAGAAAAAAGAAATACCTGAGACTGGGTAATTTATAAAGGGAAGAGGTTTAATTGACTCACAGTTCCGTAGAGCTGGTGAGGTCTCAGAAAACTTATAATAATGGCAGAAGAGAAAGCAAATACGTCCTTCTTCACATGGCATCTAGAAGGAGAAGAATGAAAGAAGTGCACAGCAAAGGGGGAGAGCCCCTCACAAAACCATCAGATCTTGTGAGAACTCACTCACTATCATGACAACAGCATGAGGGAACTGCTCCAATGATTCAGTCACCTCCCATAAGGTCCCTCTCCCCACACATGGGGATTACAATTTGGATTACAATTCAAGATGAGATTTGGGTGGCGACATAGAGCCAGACTGTGAGGGTGAATACTGAGTGTCAACTTGATTGGATTGAAGGATATAAAGTATTGATCCTGGGTGTGTCTGTGAGGGTATTGCCAAAGGAGATTAACATTTGAGTCAGTGGGCCGGGAAAAGCAGACCCTCCGTTAATCCGAGTGGGCACAATCTAATCAGCTGCCAGCGTGGCTAGAATATAAGCAGGTAGAAAAATGTGAAAAGAGAGACTGGCTTAGCCTCCCAGCCTACATCTTTCTCCCATGCTGGATGCTTCCTGCCCTTGAACATCGGACTCCAAGTTCTTTAGTTTTGGAACCTGGACTGTCTCTCCTTGCTCCTCAGCCTGCAGACAACCTATTGTGGGACCTTGTGATCATGTGAGTTAATACTTAATAAATTCCCATATATATATGTATATACACATATACATATACAGCGAAGGCATCGGGGCCAGATACACATATAAATATATATATATGTAAATACATATAGACTTTAATATATATATATATATATTCCATTCTCTGTCCTTCTAGAGAACCCTGACTAATACACAGACCATAGCAATGACTATGTGACTTTCCTGACATATGAATATAATGAGTATGTTAATAGATAGTAGAGTGCCTGATACTAAAACATCATTTTCATACACATAAAATTGTATAAATGTACTTATATGTATCATATTAGTCTGTTCATATGTTGCTTCATTCTTTTTATAAATATTTTGGTTAGGATTTTTGCAAAGACTTAGATGAAAATGGACCACAGTTCTTGGATATGGTGGATGGTTTGTTATATGTATGCACAGGTTCAAGTGCACTAGCATTCTTAACATTTGGTATCAATGTTATACACACTTCATAAAAATAATTTGGAAACTTTATTTTCCCTCTGTCCTCTGAAACTGTATAAGTAATAATGGAGTTATCAGTTCCTTAAAGATAGAATCCCATGAAAGAAACATCTAGGCTTGTTGCTTTTTTGATGAGGGGACAGTGGAAAGTCTTGACAGCATTTCGATTCTTCTAAGAACTGTTAGGGTTTTTTCTTTTCTTTTTCTCTTTTTTTTTTTTTTGGTCTCTTCTAGTTTAAGTTTTGCTATATCATATTTTTCTCCAAAATGATCGGTGTTTACTCTTTAAGGAGAAATTTCTTTAAAGTAATTTAGTAATTAATCTCTTCAAATGTTTCTGATTCCCTAATTATCTGTGATAATTTTCCCTTTCTCTTTTCTAACTTAAATCTTATTTTAACATTTAAGAACAGTAATCTTGCTCAGTTTTCATTTATTGATCTAAGTAATGGCAATTCGGTAAAATATTTTGTGTAAGTCTTTACGAGATTTTGGCTAACTACTAAAGAACCTAATGAAAATAGCTCTGAGTTACTGAATACCTTTTATGTGCCAAGCTCTCCAAAGCAGCGTTTATATGTATTTTAATCCTCACAATAGGAACTATTGGTGTCCCTACTTTCCAGATGGAGACGTCGAAGCCCAGAGAGCTCAAGTAAGTTTTCCAGTGAGGAAGTAGCAAAACAAGCTGGTTTCAAACATTGGCAGTCCGACTCCAGGAAAGTCTATACTCTTTATACTGTACCTCCTATCCATCACGTTGGTCTTATAAGTAAGTTTTAGTACTAATACGATCGCTCAGAAAATTATCTACAAAAACAAGTTTCACCTTCATAGCAGGTAATAGTAACTTTTCATAATATTAAACCATGGGAAAACACATTGAAGGCACTACTCATTTCTATATATTTAAAACACTAAATAAATAAGTATATATGCCACACTCAGTCTATCTCCCACCAAAAACCAGTATTGGTTTTTGCTATAGTTTTAATGTTTGTGTCTCCCCAGAATTCATATGTTGAAACCTAATCTCCAATGCAATAGTATTAAGAGGGGGCCTTTAGGAGGTGGTTAGGTTATGAGGGCTCTGCCTTAATGGATGGGATTTGTTCCCTAATAAAAGTAGCCAGAGGGAGCCTCCTTGCCTCTTCTGCCTCGTGAGGACACAGAAGGTGCCATCTATGAGGAAAAGACACCAAATCTGCTGATGCTTTGATCTGGGACTTTCCAACCTCCAGAACTGTCAGCAATAAATTTCTATTGGTTCTAAATTACTCAGTCTGGGGCATTTTGTTATAGTAGCCTGGACGGACTAAGACAGTTTTCAACTTAAATGCAATGGAAAGGAAAGAGTTTTAAACAGAAGACTGAGCTAATTAGAATTGTGTTTCCAACGATTATTTTGACTGCATCACAGAGAATAAATAGAGGTGGGCAAGAAAGGATATGGAGAGACTTCTTTGTACTAATTCAGTTGCAGTTATCAGGGTGAAGGATAATGGTAGCTTCAGCTTTAGTGTTAGCTAGAAAGATGAAAGAAATGGATGTATTCCAATGATTTTTGGAAGGTAGAGTTAAGAGAAATTGGTGATGGATTATCTAATGTGGAAAATGAGAGAGGAAGAAGTATCAAGAATTCGTCCTGGGTTTCTGTCTCCTATAGTAGGTGTTGCTCGAGAAGAATGAAGCTTGCTTGCTCTGTGTCCATGGTCTGTACCCCTGGGAACAGGAGTATCTCAATTTTTAAACTCAAGTAAATAGAGACATAATTAATAAGTTAATATATATATATATATATATTTATGCAATTAGTAGCTATCTACACCTATTACAAAGATACTAAGCCAAGTCCCTAAAATAGTTTGGGCATCCCAGCACTTTGGGAGGCTGAGGCAGGAGGGTCACTTGAGGACTGAAATTCAAGACCAACCTGGGCAACACAGCAAGACACCGTCTCTACAAAAAATTTAAAAATTAGCTAGGTGTCGTGGTATGTGCCTATAGTCCTAGCTACTCACGAGGCTGAGGCGGGAGGATCACTTTAGCCCAGGAGTTAAAGGCTGCAGTATGCACTCCAGCCTAGGTGACAGAGTGAAACCCTGTCTCTAAAAAATAAATACATAAATATTTAAAATTTTGTTGATAAATAAGTAAAATAAAATAAAAATGAAATAGTTTGAACAATTCTATAAAGATCCAAGAGTCCATCTCTGAGAGAACATCAGTCCACCTAACAAATAAAGGAATTTGGAAGTTTCTCTACTAAGAAATATTTCTACAACAAGCAGATAATTAGGAAGTGGTGTGAGGCAATGGAGAAATATCACTCAGAAAGACTTGGATTTCATCAGCTTCTTCCTGATTTGAAAGAATGAACTTGAGTAAATAATCTTACTAAGTACTAGTTTTATGTGTGTAAAGGGAGATATTATCTACTTAGAAACATTATTATGAGACTGAATATGATGATGCATGTAAAGCCCTCAACCCACCTGGTACACAGTAAATCTTTTCCTTCAAATTACAGGGTTTTTTGAATTGCTAAATTTGCTTTTAATAAGCAAGTAATTAGTGAATGTAAAACAGCTAATCCTGTGCAACTTGGTACAAATTATTTTACCACCTTTTATATGAAAATAATACTTTTGGAGGCTAATATTGAGAAATGAGCTTGTACTCTTGTAAATACTTAACACCAGATGCAGAAAGAATTGTTACAAAGGATCATATAAAATTTATATTTGTATGAAATTACCAAATGTGTTGAAGAACTGTAAAGTATAATATTATCACAGTGAAATATGGCCATTAAAGAGGCATGGGATCCAGATTTTTCAAATATATTTCTTTGCTTTTAACGTCTTTAAATGTAGAACGGTGTTTTTATATCTGTCACATGCATAACACAGCTCTGTAGTTTTATCAAAATTATGACAACACTATGGATCTGATTCTTTTATAGCAAAAATTCAAGTATTTTAAAATCTCAAATATTTTGATTGCCTTGAAATTCACATTTTAGTCATTGTTTATTAAAATACATAAATTATATGGGTTTTATAATCATTTTGTTATATAGAGATTTCCATGGTAACTTTGTTTGCTCAAGCACATAGAATTGGGATTGATAGCTGACAATTCATTAAAAGTTCACATTATACAGAGAATGATGATTTCTCTAGAAAGTTTAGATTAAGGTATATATCTAAATAAGTGAAATAATATATTTTACTTAAAAAAATGGCAGAAAAAGACCTCTAACCTGGAACATACAGGAAACACAAATAGAGCATGTAATAATGAGTTAATACTTATTGAGTACTTAAGATGTGCTAATTTTTGTGTGTGTGTGTATTTGTACAACCTCACATCATTCTCAAAACAAGCATCTGAAGCTACATAGGTTAATTATGCCCAAGCTCATGCAGCCAGAAAGGAGCAGAATGACCCGTTCATCTGGCACCAAACCTAGCTGTACTATTCTGCCTCTCATAGACACTCATTTCCCTCCAGCAGCTAGTTCACTGAAAGAAGACAAAGGTCACTATAAACTAAAGATCCCCTTTTGCTTCAGACCTGGCTATTTTGCAGCCAAAAAAAACTCAATTGTTTTATTTAAGGCACAAATCTAAATTGATAAAACAGACTAAAACAGGAAAATATGACAGTTCAAAATGTGCGTTAAATGAAAGGAGAAAATAAATGCCCATTCAGCTTTTCATCTGTTGATTTGCAGCTTGCAAGTACAGCCTGCTGGCTGAAACAAGATGCTGTGCCTTGTATTTCAACCCAAAGAATAAGATGGAGATGGAGATGAACAAGAGACATGCAAACCATAAAAGTCCACAGATTCTTGTACATTACTTGATACATGGAAGGTACTAATAAATATTTGCTAAATGAAAAAGGAGCTTGAGGGGCAGGCAAGAAACTTGAGTTGTTATAGGTATTGATAACATTATTTTATATATTTAAGGAGAGTCCTGCTTGGACAGGAATAATTCCTATTGTTTGTACTTTTTATATTGATCAACTTATTGATATTATGGTTTTATTAATGCAAACCCTACTTATACAACTAATAAATCAAAATTTATAATTTAACAAAATATCTAACATTCAGTAATGATTTCAAATTAATTCAATCAAAATTCTCTCAAATATTTCATTGAAATCCCAATTATTTCTTCTTATCAAATAGCCACGGCTTCCTTCTCATCAATGATCAATGCTGACATGGAGCAGTTAGTTTGAAAGAGAAAGTAAAGAGCTTAGCTTGGAGCATGCTGCCTGTGAGACAAGTGCATAAGGAAATGACCAGAAAGCATTTGAAGATTCATTTCTGAACTGCAGGATTTAAATCCAGAAGAAAAACCTAATTGGACAGCCATACATGTACAACTACTAACTAAAGACTTGGAAAGTGATATAGCATTATTTGAAATAACATTTTTAAAAGTTAACCTAAATGCCTATCAATCAGGAAATGATTAAATCATGATGTAATACCACAGGATATTACATAACCTTTCCCAATGGTTGTGTAATATCCTATGCTTGCTACCATGGAAAGATTTCCAAACCCTATAATTAAATCACAGAATAACATATGTGTGGTTAAGTTTCCAAATATGTAACAAGAAAATTTAAAACATTATAAAATATATGTAAAATATATACTCACAAACATGTCTATATATCTATATTGATAGATGATAGATATTCATAGACTCCAAGTATTTGGTGGACTTCAAGCTTGACCACCACATGGAGAAAAAAGGAGCGTAGAACAGCAGTGTGAAGTGAAACTTTCTCATTTTGATTCTGCTGTATTTGAAGCTTTACCATAAAAAATATACTTATGCACTCTTTGTGTAAACTGGTGGTAAACACTATAAAATGTTTATAATAAACCAATAATAAGCCAGCTACCAATGCTGTACGAAAAAAACAAAGAGGATGAAAACCAAGAAAAAGGCCATTGGTATTTTTCATTAGAAATGTGATAGTGGCCTTACAAAAGCAAGCTCAGAATACTGGGAAAGAAAGAATTCTGATCACAAGAGTTAGTATAGGTGAAAGTGGGGGTCAAAGATATGACATGAAAACATTCATCTGTGCCTCGGGGAAAGACTAGAGAGAACAAGTAACCTACAGATTTGTTCAGGTTTAAGTCTGTGCTGTCCAGTGGGCCTTTCACAGCTGCAAACCTTTTACTGGAGCTGAAAGAGAAGAGCATTCCCTCTTCTTCCCACCAAGGCTATGCCTGGGAGGAGGTCTGGACCATCAGGCAGTGACTCTAATGCCGTTTGGAGCCTGACACAGAAGTCAACCAGCAGAAGGCAGAGAAGACCAGGCACAGTGGGTCACACCTGTAATTCCAGCACTTTGGGAGGCCAAGGCCGGAAGATCGCTTGAACCCAGGAGTTTGAGACCAGTCTGGCTGATATGGCGAAACTCCATCTCTACAAAAAATATAAAAATTAGCCAGGCATAGTGGCGTGCATCTGTAGTCCCATCTATTTGGGAGGCTGAGGTGGGAGGATCGCTTAAGCGTGGGAGGTTGAGGCTACAGTCAGCCGATATCGCACCACTGCTCTTCAGCCTGGCAGCTGCAGTGAGCTGTGGTGGTGCCACTGCACTCCAACCTGGGCAACAGGTGACAGTCTCTCTCGAAAAATAAAGATTAAAAAGAAGGCAGAGAGAAATGTGGACTGATTTCTTATAATTTAAGCTCTATAGTTGGCAACTATATCCTTGGACTTTTGACCTATACAGGCCAATACATTCCCCATTTCTTTCTTAAGTCAAAATGGGTTTTCTGTCACTTGATGCAGAACCCATCCAAAAGGCCTATTTTTATTTGTAACTCTATTTAAAGAACACCTTTCAATAGATAGTGAGTTTCACAGATAATCCAAAGGATTTGGTATGGCTATTAATTTCAGTGTCTGTCCCATAACTCTCACCAGTACAGCTTGCTAACCAACACTGAAATAACATTGAGCGTTTTGAATTTCACCTCCTCTCCTTCCCTTTCCCTCCTCTCTAATGGAGGTGCTTAATGAGTAGTGAAAAATCTCAAAAGGTGAATGGAAAAAATAACTTAACAATCAGTCCCAAAGGCTAAAGTGGTAAACCCCAAATATATTCAGTCAAGTGGGTAAAAAAAGTGTTTGGTCTCACTGAAGTTACCACTTTCAACAGTTTATTCTTCCTGGTATATGGCTGGAGAGTGGACTGTAGATTTTCTTTTGAATGTTAACAATGGAAATAATTCAGTACTATGAAAGAATGGCTATCATCATCATAAATATAAATCAGTTTCTACATTATTCCAGAAGGTATAATTAATGATTTTATAAAACTTCTGAGGTTATATTGAGTTTCATGGTTTCGTATCATACAAGTACAAAATTACACAATATTTGATCCACACAAACACCTTAGCCACCATTCATTTAAAACACCCAGAACCACCATTCAACACCTAAAAACTACATTGCCAACACCTATAAATCTATTTTTGTGCTCCTCCAATCACATACCCCTGAAATCCCTAGATAAAATCACATTCTGAATTTTGTTTTCAACAATGCCTTATGTTTTTATATAGTTTTATCACACACAATATACAATATACAATCATATTGTATGTAGTCTAGGGCTTGATTTTTCATTCAATATTCCTATGATTAAGCACATTTCTATGATTCATCCATTATGTTGAATATAGCTGTAGTTTGTCTCAATATCCCTGGTGCATAATATTAAGCTTTTGCTTTCTATCTTGTATTGTTGTTCAGTTTTTTCCTCCTTCTTCATACCTAATGTAATCCCAGAATAGAAGCGGAAGTAATATATCCAAGCCAGTGTCTGCATGAAAAGATCATGGTAGTAACATAGTTTTTCTCAGGAATTACTGATAGAAAAAGTTGGTCTATGTATTATAACCTTCCCACAACAAATCACAGTGTTGTAAGAACTGGAAGAAGTAGTCATCACACTCCACTGTGGTTTTCAGAAGTGAAAGGAAAGTACTTATTTTGTTTCTCTTTAAAACACTTAATATATAGTTTGTAATACTAAAGTCAAAAATGCTGTCCTTTAGCTGAATCTGTGTTTCCATAATATGCCAAATATCTGGTTAAAAATTGAAATGCAAGAATACCATGCAACAATTAAAAGGAACAAAATATACATACATATATGCCATAATATAGATGAACCCCAAAAACATGTTAAGTGAAAGAAAGAAGACACAAATGATTACATACTCTGATTCATGTATTTTATAATTTCTATAGTATGTCTAGAAAAGGCAAATGTTTAGACCCAGAAAACAGATCAATGACTGCCTGGGGCTAGGTAAGTGAGGATTAACTGCAAATGGGCAGGAGAGAACTTTTGGGGTAATGGAAACGGTCTAAAATTGGACTGTAGTGATGGTTTCACAACTCTAAAAACTTACTAAGATCATTGAATTGTAAGAGGTAATTTTATGGTATGCAAGTTATACTTCCATAAAGCTGCTAAAAAGTGAAATTCTGTCATAATATCCCTAAAATACTAAGTCTGGTTAATTTTTTCTTTTCAGTCAATTAATGCAATCTATACGCTGTTTGCCATTTTGAAGAAAGAGCTCCAGTGCTAAACTGTAATATTTACACACTCTGTTTATGTGCCCATATTGAAGCGAAAGTAGAATTTTAAAAACACATCAATTTGAGAAGACCTGCTGATGAAGATGGTATCTGAGTAAGAATGAATTGGACCACTCGCTAAGGGACCTAGAATATGGCGTTGGAAAGATAACCAGTATTCCACATAGAAGCAGAGAAATCCAACAACAGCAGCAGATTTCCCAAGGGATCTTATGTCACAATGAGGAAGGATTACAGGAAACTTCTACTAACACTTTATTTTCCTTCCTGGAGCTTGGGGAGAGGTTTCAGTAACTTGGTAGACAGGTCAATAGCTACTTACACTATAGAGTTACCCACAGCCCTCATGATAACTTTTGCCTTGCCCACCTTTTTAAAACTCCTTTTCCCTTTTGTCAGAGGCATTTAAGTTTTTTTGTTTCCACAAGTTTACAACTCTCAGTCGAGTTTGGTTATGGAGTGGTAGCTGTTAACTGAAGTTAACATTGTGCATGTCATCAAAGGAAATCAACTATAGAAACTAGAAATAAAAAGATGATTTGAACAAAGTGATCCCACTATTTTGGATGTAATTGTAAGTGAAACAGAGCATGTTTACCTCAATCTGGCCCAGACCAAAAATTAAAATATGAGAAAAGAAAGCTAAAATATTTTAGAATATTTAAGAACTTACAATGATTGTAAAGCAGAGGGAGGAAGGAAGGCAATTGTTTAGATAATTTAAGCTCTTTCCCAAAATACCAGTTTGTCTGTTATCTTTATATTTTTGGAGAAAAAAAATTGGCATGGATTATCCTAACGACGAAAATTCCTCTGATGGTTTTGCATATTTAGAAACAATGTAAGTGAAGCATGTTAATGTAGCTTATTTAACATTTCAGAAACAAGCAGTCAAAAAAGATATCGTCCCTCTCAACATTTTTCCTGTCGAAAATATCTGTGGGATGACAAAGTATGCTGCCATCTTACAAACAGCCATCAGCCTGGTATATACTACATTTTTCTTTCATGTCACAAAAACAATATTTTTTGAAAAATAGACATCAGTCACTTGATATAAAAATTCATGAGTATTCTAGGATGTGATAAAGAATGTTTTATTCCTATTTGTCATTTTGTATAGGTGAAGGACAAAAAAAATCTGCAGACGCTTTGAGATAAAATTACTCTTTAACTCGTTTCACATGGTATGTGTCAGTAACACTTTCAGTATGAAAGATGGAAGCCCCTTACAACGTGAGTTGTTTTTATATGTCAATGTTTAATTTTTATAGAAAAAAAAGAACACATCTTACCAAGCATATTATATTCATGTTGTCTTTTAAGGATTTTTTAAAAATTTACAACACAAATTGAAAGAGCCCAAGGGAAAAAGAAAAGACATCTGTCGGATCAAGAGTCTCTTCCACAGTGAGAAAAGTTATTTAAAAATAAGGGGGAAAAATGGAAATGCTGCCTAACCTAAACGGTTTATGTAAAATTTCTAAGGCTAATTCTTTATTGCTTGGGAAGTCCATGAAGCTTTTGATCTAGTGGATAAAAGTCCACAAGGCAGGAGGAGATAAACTACAGTTATTCTAAGATTATTCATCATTAAGATACTGACTTTGAACACTTTGTAAAAGATAATTAAAGGGGGAGAAAAGGATGCAAAATAATCGGAATCAAGTAGTGTCACTTGGTAGAAATAGAAAAATTGAAGGTGAAACATTTAAGCCTTTCAATGCTTTTTATGACATAACAATATACTATAATTTTTAAAATTTCTTCTTAAAGACAAAATGATAAACAATACATGCAATAACTGGTTCGGTTCTCAGGTGATTTTTAATACTTGAAAATATATGTGAATATGAATGCATATATGAAAATTAAAATAAAATGTATATATTTAAGTGAGACTGAAATGGAGGCTTAATGATTCTATTATCTGCCCCCATTTAATGGGAAATCATATGTAAATATTATTATTAGAGAGGCATGGATTATTTATTCCTTCTTTCTAAAAGTTTAAAGTTTTTATTCAATAGCATCATTTTGCTTTTTTGGAGAGCGTTTTGCTCTGCCACCCAGACCGGAGTTCAGTGGTGTAATCAGAGCTCACGGCAGCCTCAAACTCCTGGACTCAAGTGATCCTCCTGCCTCACCCTCCTGAGTACCTGAGATTACAAGCACACGCCACCACACCCAGATAATTTTTTTATTTTTCACAGACACAGGATCTCACTTTGTTGCCCAGACTGGTCTCAAACTTCTGGCCTCAAGTGACCCTCCCACCCCAGCCTCCCAAAGTGTCAACAGCATCATTTTAAAAAGCATTTTTGTTTATTTGGTTGGTTTGTTGATTGAGGGCTTCCCTCATCAGCAATAGCAAATTTGGCTCCATTTTCCATAAAAGATCCAATGCAAGTCTATGTTTTTTCATGATGCAAACATATGACTATCATCTTTTACTCATTTTGAGTTATTATTATTATCTTGTTATTGCTGAAAGTCTTATGTTCTATAAAATCTTACCCCTGCTATAGTCTATAAAATCTTACCCCTAGCCAAAAATGGAAATGGAAAAAAATGGAATGTTACTGTTAAAAAGGGCCTAAGAGATGGCAACAACTACCATTACAGCAACCACCAGTATTTATAAATGTTTACTACATGTTAAGCACTAAACAAAATCCCTTTGTATGCATCATCTCAATTAACCCTATGGAACCCATCCCTGCTGTCAGCACATTAAAGAGGACAGTGAGACCCAATGAAGTTAGAGGGCTCAGTTCAAGTTCATGCAACTAGTTACATGTATAAGCAGAACTTGGACCTGGTCCTTTGGTTCACAGTCCAGGAATATTTTCCCACCGCAATAATTTAAGAGAAAAATATAAAATGAACAGAAAATCATAATTCTATTAAGGACTTTCATGTTTTAAAATTTGATAGGATGTAAGCTTTATACTTTCCATCCAACATTTAGTTTACTCTTCCACTCAAATTCATTTGAGAAGTGTGAATCCTATCCTTCCTGGGCAAGTTATTTCACTGTAGATGGCTTTGCAATTAGATTGAGAGGTAAAAGAATTCACTTATTCATGTGAGAGGAAGAAGTGTAGTATCTGCTTAACATTCTAGCTTAAAATAATATTGGCTTTATCCAAAATATGTCAGAGTGACCAGTTGAAAAGACCCCAGTGCAGTCCATCAACTGTTTGTTTTGTCTATGGAGTAACCCACCAAAATCATTTGGCAAATGTTATTAGTAAATTGATCTAACCCATGTCTATTGCTGTGTGGGAGCAGTGTGGTGTACTCAAATGCCCTAGATAAAGAATTCCTAAAATCTTCTACTAATGGTTCTTTAAAATTGATTTAGAGCTTCTAACTAAAGAATAGTCCTCCTCTCTCTGCAAATTTTAGGAATGAGAATCAGATGACCTCCCCGCCCCCATCATAGATCATGAATCTAGATGTACAGTTCATCCTAATGATTCCTCAAAAAGGAAAATCAAGACAGCCAATGCTTGAGGATTATTGTTGTTGCCATTATTGCCAATGGTATAAAATCTACAGTAAATATTCACACGAGAGAAGAGTCCTAAGCACATCTTCTCTTAATCCTGAATAGGCGGAAAGTTGGGAATAATAATAAAACAAAAACATTGTTTGGTTATAATTTCTAATAGTGAATTTTATGGGTTGAATTGTGAATCTCCAAAATTCATGTTGAAGTCCCATCCCCCGGTGTAACTGTATTTGGTGATAGGACTTTCAGGAGATGATTACACTTAAATGAGGTCTTAAAGAGGATTCCTAATTCAACAGGGCCAATGATGTTATAAAAGGAAGAGATTTCTCTCTTTCTCTCTCTCTCTGTCTCTCTCTGCCTATCTTTCTCTATGCACTCAGAGGAAAGGCCACATAAGGACACAGTGAGAAGGAGGCTGTTAAATGAAGTTAAAGTTAAAGCTAGGAAGAGAGCCCCCACCACAACCTAATCGTGCTGGCACCCTGATCTTGGACTTTCAACATCCGAAACTGTGAGAAAACAGATTTCTGTTGTTTAAGCCACACGGTATTTTGTTATGGCAGCCTAAGCTGACTAGAACAGCACTCTACTATCAAACCTTGAAAATATGTCAGGCCGGGTGTGGTGGCTCCTGCCTGTAATCCCAGCACTTTGGAAGGTCAAGGCAGGAGGATTGCTTGAGTCCAGGAGTTTGAGCCCAGCCTGGGAAACATAATGAGACCTCATCGCTACAAGAAATTGAAAAGTTAGCCACGCATAGTGGCACACACCTGTAGTCCCAGCTACTTGGGAAGAGGAGGTGTGAGGATCGCTTGACCCTGGGAGGCTGAGGTTGTAATGAGCCAAGATTGTGCCACTGCACTCCAGCCTGAGTGACAGAGCAATTTTTTTAAAGAGCTGCTCTCAAGTCTTGTAAAACAACTTGGAGGTCTTTAGTGAGTACCAATGATTGTTAGTAAATATAACCTACACATTTCTACTGGTCTAGCCTCAAAAGTAGTACTTTTATAAAGCTTTTATTTTGAAGGTAAGTTAATGACAACATTCGTTGGAATGCCTCACATTGGTGTGTGACCTCAAACATGTAGCCAGAGGTGAGTTGTTAAATGTTTTTCAACTGATTCTGAGCTCCAAATGAGACCTGAAGCCCATTAGCACTAGATTTTGACTAATTATAATTTCACAGAGAACTGTCATCTGCATAAAAACAATAAAGCTAGCTTATACAGAAAGTAAACTTTACATCAGGGTCAAACAAAAGATTCAGGTCTTTACATTATAGTTAACTTTATCATTTATGCTATAAATACACTGGCAGATTCTGTGAACAGGCTCCTCTTCTTTTTTCTAATAGATTCCCCCTAACCCTAAGTTTTAGCACAGCATATTTAGAAACCATATTTCCAAATTCCCCTGCAGCTAAAGAAGCCAATGGATGGGGGTGGAACTTATATGTATGACTTTCAGATCCCATTATTACAAGGAATCTGTTTGCCTCCCATCCTCTTTTCCCACCTCCTCAGGGCTGGTGAAAGTAAGCTGGCTTCACTCAGATATGTCATCCCCAAAGGATGAGAGACTAACAAGGTAGAAAAAACTTGGATCCCTGGGTGTCCTTGCAGAACAGAGTCACCCACTTGCCTAGGTCTGCACTGATATGAAAGAGAAAAGTAAATCTGTGGCTTGTCTGAGCCACTGTGTTTTGAAGGTTTGTTAGTACCCTAAATAATTATTATACTTTACAGTTTACAGTGTACCTTCCAAATGTGAAAATCTAAAATGCCTGACATTGGGGGCTGAGTAATTTTTTAAAAAGATAAGATATTCATTCATTCATTCAACAACTATAAAGTACATATTATATATTAGCCCTGCTTTAGGTTCTGAGTACCCAACTGAGCAAGACCCATCAGGTTCCTATACTCATGAAGCTTTGAATATAGTTAGAGAGGAGTTGGCAGAGAGATAATAACAAAGTCAACAAAATTTTAAAAAATAATGATTTTAGAGTATGGTGGTTTAAAGTGAAGGCTCAAGAGTCAGATTGTCTGTGTATTAGTCCAGACTCTGGCATTTATGCACTGTGGTAACCAACTTCCAAGGATGACCCCCACCCAAACCCCCCACTTCCCCCACTGAACCATATCTCCTGGTATTCATGCTCTTATACAAGCCCTGCTTTTGAATCTGGGATGGCCCCAGAACTCGCTTTTGACCAGCAGAGTGAAGCAGAAGTGACGTTGTATAACTTCCAAGGCTAGGTCATAAGAAGACTTCCATCTTCCATCTGGGTCTTGTGGGATGCCCACTCTGAAGGAAGCTGGCTACTGTGTTAGAACTTCAGCCACCTAAGATTGTCAGGTTGAGGAAGCCACATGGAGAGGCTGTCTGGAGAGAGATGCCAGCCCAGAACTAGCTGCCCCTGCCATCCCAGCTGAGGCCTGGATGTGTGAATGAAGAAGTCCCCTTTGATTTCAGTTTAGTCCAGCCTTTACATGACTCTAGCCGTGTAAGACGCCTTCTGGCTGCAACACTGTGACAGTCCCCACATGGGAACCACCCAGCTGTCCAGTCAACCCATAGAACCAAGAGAAATAATAATAACTTAAGTCACTAATTTGGATATTACACAGCAATAGATGACTAGGACACTAATTTTATGAATTAAATAAGTTTCTTAATTTCTCTGTGTTTGAGTTTTCTCATCTATAAGTTTTCTACCTTATAAAATTGTTACTAGGGCTAAATTTGTTAAACTGGAAAGGGCTTTATAACAGTGCCTGGTGTGTAGTAAATAGTAAATGTTAGCTACTGTTTTTTATTATTAATAAATAAAGTAGAATCATGGAACAAAAATATTCTTCATTGGATGCTCAGGAAAGTTCTCACATGAAAATGACAGTTGAGCTTAGATCTGAAATCTAAGGGCTCAGCCATGCAGACAGCCAGACAAAAACATCCAAACAGGAAAACCAGCAAGGCAAGGGTGCTGAGGGAGGCACGGGTGTGGTGTCTTGGAGGAGCACAGACATGGCCGGCGTGGTTAAAGGGTAGCAAGCAAACCAGAGTCACCCAAGCCACAATCGCAAGTGTGGATTTTATATTAAACACAATGAGAAGCTTTAAGAGATTTTAAGCAGGAGAATGACTTGAAACACTTTATTGACAATAGATTTTAAGAGGACAAGAATGGAAACAAAAAGACCCTTTAAGAGACTGTTATCATCTGAGTGACTTGAGTGACTTGATCCAGTGTTTAGCAGAGGAGATGGTGAGAAGAGGGCAGATTTGGGGATATGTTAGTTGAATGAGTGGCCCTCAGATGGCCCATCAGGTTTCTACAGTAGAGAGGAGGTTTCTATTTTAACAAAGTCCTTCTGGCGATTACGTTACTTAAACCATCTTAGACAGGGTTCTAAGCATTATATCCCAGAACAGCTCAAGTCTATCTCGTTTTGTATAATTTAGGAATCAATGGTTACATATTCTAAATAGGGAATAACAGAATAGAAACTTTCTCACATTTACTGTAATTATTCAAACAGGAAAAACCATTCATGGCAATGTGACTCAGTGGAAGGAATAATACGAGGCAAATCAGGACACAGGGTTACGTAGGCAGTACTGTCCCTGACATCTCATTGGAACAGAGTTTGTGATTATTTACGGCCTCCTTGGTCCTCAGCCCTATCCAATTCTGACAAACTATTACTTTGTGTCTCTATTTTAAAATGCTTCATCGCCTGGAAATATTTCATCTTCCTAAAGTCAGGATTCACACTCAGTACTTTCCTGCGACTCTTGGTTCCTCAAAGCTGAAAGCACCTGCCACAAGGAAATAATCCCAAAGAGATAATCACCCAAAGGAGCCTTTGATTCCAGTGCCTCCATACAGGAAGGAGGCTGACAGCAAGTTGGCCTGTATTTTTTTATGCCCATCAATAAACTATATGTAACATGTAAGTGCACTAAAGGGGTCTCCTATACAACCTAGAAGATTTATTCTTTTTGGGAAAACTTGGGAGGTTTTGCTTTCAAGCTTTATTTTAAGATACAGAATAGTCATCACTCAAGCCAGTTTTTCTAAAACTTTATTACAGGGGAAAGCCTCTGGCATGCATTTCTAATACAATATTCATTTCATGTGGCAGCTCTTTCTTTAGTAGTGCCAACAGAAAGGAGAGAAAATACATGAAACAAGAGAATGGAGGCAAAGGTCCTTGCATGGTACCTGACTCAGGAGTCGTTCAGTCCTTTTCTCTCTCTTTCCTAACACTGACAGGGTCCAATAAAATTATCCTAGTATTAGAAAACTTAGGAGGACATTAAACTGGCTTTGCAAAATGTTTAACTCTCTTTGTCTGCCTGAGTTTTCTCTGGCCCACTTACACCTTAGGGTAAACTCCGACTTTCAAGCACATAGGCTTGGCTGCTTTCAAAGCTGTATAATGGAACATGTGAAATGCAAGATTAACTCTTGGATTCAAAGAACCATGCAGAATCTTTCTCTAGACTTTCCTGTTGTTATTTGCCAGCTTTAAATCTTAGCACTGTGGCATCTTATCTACAATTCACTGAATTAAATGTGAAAAGAGGGCGTTAGAGTATACTGAACACGTGGAAGACTTCTGATTACTGAATGGATTTATACCATCCAGGATATATACCATCTCCCAGCTGGTGCCAGGTAAAGGTAGCAGCAACACCTAGCATCACTATTATTGACCTTCTTAGCTAGCCACCAAGCTCACTAGTGCTATATTCACTTTGGCTGCCAAAACATAACAGGCCAGCACCACTGTAATTTAGAATGAGCAAAGAGAGGTAATGCTTACTTTATGAAATAAAGTTAAAATTTAATGAAACAAAGTCAGATTTTGATAAGCATATAGGTGGGAGATAGACAATAATCAATCAGCAGCCAACAAAGGGTATGGAGATAATTATGTAAAATCAAAAAAAGAGGCACCTGGCTGGACACGGTGGTTCATGCCTGTAATCCCAGCACTTTGGGAGGCTGAGGTGGGTAGATCACCTGAGGTCAGGAGTGTGAAATCAGCCTGGCCAATATGGTGAAACCCCACCTCTACTAAAAATACAAAAATTAGACAGGCGTATTGGCAGGCACCTGTAATCCTAGCTACTCGGGAGGCTGAGGCATAAGAATCTCTTGAACCTGGGAGATGGAGGTTGCAGTGAGCCTAGATTGTACCAATGCACTCCAGCTTGGACGACAGAGCAAGACAGACTCTGTGAAAAAAAGAAAAGGCATCAACTTGCATAGAAAGTTGGCAAATGTTTGAAGTGGTGGTAGTTACCATCAAACAAAATCAATAAAACATCTGGAGGTGCTAATTAGAAATGAAGAAAAAAGAGAATGGGCAGTTTTGCCGATTTGCCAGCCTATGTTTCTCCTGACCAAATGATGAGTAGAAAGAGAAAAGGATTAAAATTTAAATTTAAAGGCATATTTTTCCCCTGAGAAAGATTATGTAATGGCATGTGAAGTCAGTTCAAAGGAAGCCTATGATGTTTTCCTTCTCATAAAAAAGGAAGCAAATTATTCCATCCAAGTGCAACTGAATCAAATTTGAACTTCCTGTAAATGTATCAGTTGATAAACCAGGATTTAAGTTCAAGGGTACATTCCATGCCTAATCTTCATTTTACAGCTTTTGGAGATAAAATTTCCTTAGCACTAAAATCTTTCAAAGATAGTCTTTCTTGCAAAACAAATTGTTAGAAGTGAGCAGCAAATTGGCCAGATGCCTCTGGGGCATAACTGTTTCTTAAAAGTCAGGTAAGAACTTTTAGAAATGATCTCATACTTTGAAATCACTAGTTTTCTGTTTCACGCTTTGGAACAGAAATGGTCAATGTACCAAAAGGGTTAATACAGCTTCTCCAAAGTGCTTCTCTTCTCACAGAATATAGTTTACATTTTGGGAGAATTTGGCACAGCTTAAGTTACAGCTTAACTGATTTGCTCAGTAGAGTCCAACAAGAAGTCATTTGCCCCACCCATTTGTCCCTAAGTGTTTATTAGCAGGGATAGACACAAAATTTTAAAAGAAAAAAGTATTTTTCATATGAATATTCTTTCTCCAAGACTTCAAATCAAGATACATAAGCAACAGCATTCTTCAAATCTTACTCCCAAACTGGAAGCCATCTTTTACAGAATTTTAGAAACACTCCAAAATGTATTATCAGACCACTAGCCTTTCTCAGCCTAAACGTCTCACTGCAAGATAAATGGACATGAGACAATTATTTCTTATATGGCTATAAAGAAAAATAATTGCAAAGCATAAAAACCAGCCTATGACATGAGGCTAGTTTTACATGCTTCCAGAAATTGGTACTTTTAAGTTTCCAACATTGAAAAATATACAGACAACAGAAATCTTTTCAGTGGTACATATTACTATGATTGTTATCCCCCCAGACAGCCTGAGCAGTCCATTAACTAAGGTGTAACAGAGAACCAGAGCCAAAAAGAAAAAAAAAAAATGACTCCAACAAGAAAAATCACAGCTTAATAGCCTGGTATGTAGTAAGGCCATAGTTTGGATTTTTATAATAATTATCACATTCCAGAGCCCAAATTAATTATTTGTAGTTATTTTGCAGATATCTTAGTAGCTACGCGCACACACACACACATTTCACAAAGTATTGGCCAATGCCCATTTTCACAGAGCTCTTTACTCTAAAAATAACTTTAACTTTCATGTTTTACCAAGACTGAGAGACGGGAGAGCAAATCACAGGAAACTAGTTGGGGAATTAGTAAAGAAAATTTTAACAGGCCTGCTGGGTGTTCTCTTACTGCTGTCTTGAACCTCAGATGAAATTATTATACTTTCTGTGTTGTAGTACGGGGTCATTTGTACGTGAAGACAAAGGCAACTTCAACTTGATATTTCTGTCATCCCTGCTGTGGGAAGAGTCCTTTCCTGGTTTATAACATCAATCATTCTCACAATAAATCTTAGGGTGGATGTGGTCATTTAAATCTCCACCTGCACAAACAACAGAAAATAAGAGAGCTCATAAATCTTTACACTGGTGATTAACAAATTTTGGATCCTCAGCGAAGATATTATGGAAGAGGGGTCACTAATTCATTAATAAAGACTGATTTGCTGACAACCTGTTTAGTTTACAGCATCGGGGGAAAGCAAACAAGGCCCTGCTAGCAAAACAAAGCGTTAGAGGTTAGTGAATTCCCAGCTGAGCCTAGGATTAGAGATATGATATCTTAATGTAGGAGAAGCCTTCAGACCCTAAGACAACCACTCAGAAACCACTCTCACATTTTGCTCCAGCCCAACTTCAGTGCCTATCTGCAAGGGAAGAAAACCTGGCAAAGAAATTGTAAGAGAGATTGACACCTTCAGTTTCCCTGGTTTCATTGCATCAATTTCATCCGGTCCCTAGGTTCTGGTTCCCTGTGATTTTCTACCTACTTCCCAGGAGACTTTGTTATTCTCTAGGAAAGATGGCTCGAGCTGGGGTTAAAGATGGAAAAGAACCTTTCTCAAAAGGATAATCTTGCTTTGTGTTTTGTAGTGTCAGCTTCATGTGAGGAACACTGGCACCAAAGAGGCTGGAAGAAGACAAAAACAGCAGCATTGAAAGGGATGGTGCATCACACAAAAAGTGCCAGGCAAGGTGATGTCTGAGAGCAACTAAGACTCTCAAGGCAATATTAAATGCATTTCTAGAAAAAAAAGAGGAGAAAGTTTCCACTTATTAGGAAAAGATGATCAACTAACATAATATTTTCCACACACTCATACTGCCCTATCTCATTCTCTACCCACTCCCACTAAGCTGTGTGTGTTGGGTTTGAGTGTGCAAATCAAGTAGGTTTGTGTACACATAGGCAGTCCTTTGATGTCTTGAAAATGATCAGGTGTAGGTGAAATTTTTGATACTTACTTTTCCATCACCATAAAGATTCAAGGAAGCACTTGTCCTCATTTATCCCGGGGAAGGTGGAAGGAGATCTTGGTAAAGCCTTGGAGTCTTATGAGGTGTTGGCAGGATGCAGTTGATACTCCCTGTATTTTTACTCGTGTTTTCTTGAGAGGAGAGAGGGAATGGAGTGCTTGTGAGATTCGTAGGTGGAAGGCCCAGAAAGAGCCAAAGGATCTAGTCGTTTTTCTAAAGTTCTCAGTAACAACCAGCTGTGATGTCTTAAGAGGGAAAGGCCTTTTAGAGATGGACAGGACATGATTCTCCTCGGCCGGCCACAGTTGGGAGAAGGTGGCTGGTAAGTACATGATGCAGTTGAGTTGATTTACATTACAAGTTGCAAATTAGGGTCTGTGCAATGAGTTTCCCTCCGGTTGTGAAAGGGGTCTAAGCGTTTTGCTGGGGCCTGGCAGGCCCCTCCCCTGGGCTGCAAAGATCCGCCCCTCTATTCCCCAGATAAATTCCTAGTGTCCACCAAATTCCTCAGCGCTCGCTCACACTCCTCTACGGCCACGACTCTGGGAGTGGGGAAACAGAGAGCCGGTTCCTCTGCTGCAGAAGTCCTCTAGGTTCCTTCTCACAACTCTGCGAAGGGGAAAGGGTTGTGAAACCCAACCAGACCCCAACTCCAGCTCCCAACAGGAGGTGGCTGCGCCACACTCGGGAGGCCCCTTGCTTTCAGTGTCTCTCTCTCTCTCTCTCTCTGCCTCTCTCTCTCTCTCTCTCTCTGTCTCTCTCTCTCCCTCTCTCCCTCGTCCACTCCCCCAAACATGTCCACCGGCTCCCTCAGCGATGTGGAGGACCTTCAAGAGGTGGAGATGTTGGAATGTGACGGGCTGAAAATGGACTCGAACAAGGAATTTGTGACTTCCAACGAGAGCACCGAGGAGAGCTCCAACTGTGAGAATGGGTCTCCCCAGAAGGGCCGCGGCGGCCTGGGCAAGAGGAGGAAGGCGCCCACCAAGAAGAGCCCCCTGAGCGGTGTCAGCCAGGAGGGGAAGCAGGTCCAGCGCAACGCCGCCAACGCGCGCGAGCGGGCCCGCATGCGAGTGCTGAGCAAGGCCTTCTCCAGACTCAAGACCACCCTGCCCTGGGTGCCCCCGGACACCAAGCTCTCCAAGCTGGACACGCTCAGGCTGGCGTCCAGCTACATCGCCCACTTGAGGCAGATCCTGGCTAACGACAAATACGAGAACGGGTACATTCACCCGGTCAACCTGGTGAGTGCCCTGGGGGCTGCTGCTGCAGTCCAGGCGAGCCTGCAGTCCAGGCGCGCCCGCAGTCCCGCCAGCGGTGGGCGCGAGTGAGCGCGGGGCTGGGAGTGGGGTTGCGGGCGTGGCGGTGACTTATACACCTCGGCCACCGCGGGCCTAGAGCCTCCAGGGACCAGAGGCGGGCGATCTAGACATGACCCTCGCTCTCTGCCCTACCAGTCCCCGGAGCGGGAGTGATTTATGCAAGGGTTTGACGTGGCAGCCCAATTAAAGGTTTGCAAGTGTATTGAGCTGGCACAGAGGAGGGATCCCCCGCGCCCGCTCCATCGCCATCCTCCCTGGGGTAGAGTGGCTGCTGTGGAACTGAGAACACTGACAAGACCTCACGCCGAGGAGGCATTTTATTAATCCTTTTTTCTTCTTTTAGCTGAGAGTGGATTTTGATTTTCCTTTCCTTGTAAATAAAAACACCCACCTCCGTTTCTTTCACAAGCATATTCAGGACCATTAGATAAGGACACATCTATGCCCCCCTAAATTGTCAATGTAAGCCCCCAACCACTTAAATGTTCTGTGCTTCTCCTATAAGTGGATTAGTATTTTTAAATCCTAGAAGTTCCAGTAATTATCAGCAAAATCAGTAAATCCTCACTAGTATGAGTTTAATAAATATTAAAACAGGTCACTCTCATTCAAGATTTAAGAAAAGTTGCCTTTTATCTTAAAAAGTAATGCCCATTGAGTCTAACTTTTTTAATACAAAAAAACTGATAATCATTGAGTCTACTTTTTCCTCAAATGTATTTTACTGTTTAAGAAATACATTTTAATTTTTTTATTTGATTTTATTTTAAAACTTCTAGGATCTAAAGAAAAACAATAACAACAACTTACTAGGACCTCTGTTTGTATATGATAAGAATGAGAGATTTTTCCTCTTAAAAGGCAAGTCTTATCAGCCAGCACTAGAGCAGTAGTGAGCGAGGTCTGAATTGTCTTCTCACCGAATTGGTTTCTGGAACTGAGGGAGAAGAAGATGCAAAACCACATTTTGCCATGAAAAAATAGTTTTCCCTCCAACTGAAAGTTTGGGTTTTTTTTTTTTTTCAATGAGTAAATAGCTTTTTAATATCTTCACCTAAAATGAAAGTGCTGCCTCGAATATTTACAATTGTTACTCTCTTCATCTTTAAATAAGAAACTTAAATGAACTTTATTATAAAACAGCCCGGAGAAAGGAAGAGAAAGCATGCTTTCTCAGTCCAGCACGAAGACGATCTTAAATTAAAAGTCAATGTAGTATTTTTAGCTTTTTTCTTTTTTCCCTTCAGAGGTGGTGATTAATTTAGAAGTTGTAGTCAAAGCCGGTGTTTGAGATGGAAGAAACGAAAGTCGGGGCTAGGGAAATAGATGGCGATGAAAGACGATGAAAGCGACAGGGCCCTGAAACCCGACCACCGCCTCAGAAGAGAGGCCAGGAGGGAGCTTCGCCCCCAACTCGGTGCCCAGCAGGCACAAGGTCATTCTGGGCTTCCCCGCTCAGGCTGCCAGAGCGTCTGCTTCCAGGCAGTGCCACAGCACCACCCACTCTCGGCTTGCCCAGGGCTTCCTGCATTGGGTCTCACAAGGAAGCCAGTATGAGCCCTTTTGGCTCTCGTTCTAAAAGACCACCATCAGCACCACCACCACCTCGAGCTGTGACTTGGCGCCAAGGCAGCTTTTTGCTTTATGCAGCCGCGGGGTGCGCTGGGACCGGGAGAACATTGCAGAGATAATCGGTCTCTCCAGCGCACTGCCTGCCCCCACCGCCCCCACTCCTTTCATCTCTGGCCAGGAGCCCACCCCACCCCCTCCGCCACGGCTACTTACCTCCTCCACCCTCTTCTTTCCCGCAGACGTGGCCCTTCTTGGTGGCCGGGAAACCCGAGAGTGACCTGAAAGAAGTGGTGACCGCGAGCCGCTTATGTGGAACCACGGCGTCCTGACCTTGGAGGTGCGAGTCTGGGAAAGGCGCGCTCCCGGGGGGAGCGGGCCCCGGGAAGTCGACCCCTGCCCTCCGTGCTCTCTGTCTCTGCTTCCCCCTCGCAATGCTCCTCTCTCTGTCCCACCCCGCGAGAACACTTTACAACGACGAGGAGATTCGTTTCCAAACCAGAGGAGATCAATTGTACTTGCAAAGATTCCCATCTATTTAACTTTATTAACTTCTACCGTGAATGACTCTGCAAGCCTTGCTGGTCCAAGTGCAATATGTAATTATAAATGTATAAATAGATAAGAGCCTATCAATGTATCTTTTGTACAATATGTTGTAAAATGTAGATCATAGGATAGCTGACTTTGACAGTCACATTTATAAAGTAATTCACTTAAAGATATATATTTTTTTCAAACAAGTTTTGCTACTTTTGAAAATAAATCTTTCTTTATATTGCTAAAAGCTCTGACATTTTGTGTGATTTTTTAAAATATTTGGAATAGAAAAGTGGGAAACTATAGTGAAGCTTGATAATGAAAATGATTCTTTTAAACATCAATCTAAATTCTAGAGATAGAAGAAAATTGCATATGAGTTTCATAATGAAGATGCAGATTACGTTTTTTACTGAAACCTTTAAAAAGAAATATGTCGGTTACTTTTAAGGACAATAGAAATTATGTAACTGTAAACAAAGAATGGGCAGTATTAAAGTTATCCACAGTTACACAGTTCAAGAGTAAAAACGCACCAGAAAAAGGAAATCCAGCTTTCATGGATTCCACAGTATGACTGCTGACACGGGCGAGAAAGTAAACTCTACCTTTCGTCACCTTCCAGGTGTGGGTATGGCTGCAAACTAGTCAAGAAATAATAGAAGCTATGGAAGATGTAAATTCCATAACCCTTAGGGTGTGTTTCAGGATTTTCAGAGTTCTGCAGCATACATTATCTACATTTCTTATTAATAACCCATTAATTAATTCTAACAACAAACCTGCATGCCTGCCTTTTGGTTGCGGTTAGCCGGCGCGTTTAGCTCCCACCACGACTTCCGGCGGACTGGGTTTTAATTTAAACATTTTCCAGGCTACAGAACAGCTCCTAGGGGAAGATTAAGTTGAGATAAACAGAGAAGCAAGGCAGAGGAGCCTGGGACCCGGCTCTCTCACTGCCCCAGAGCAGCCCGCGGCAGCCGATGCGCCAGATGCCACCGGGGCTGTTTAATGTTCGGGGTTATGACCGCAGTGTTTACAAGACGTCTTTGGTTATTTATACTGTTATTCCTCGCAGAGAGCCTTGAAACTTCCGCTTCATTTGCTCTTTCTTTTCGATTTTTTATCCTTTTTTCTCGGCTTAGTTTGGTACCTGGAGCGAGAGCTTCTCCGCCCTTCCACCAACCCCACAGGCCGCTTCTCGCTCCTCGGGTGGAGCCCTCTGCCTGGCCATAGAGGAGGGATCCCGGTAGGTTGGTCCCGACTGGAGAAGCTGCTCTGCCAGGTGTGCTCTCTGTCAGTTATAGTGACCTCATTACCAAGGGGTGGCGACCACATTACCAAGCGCAATTCCTCATTCTCCAAGGGCTGAGAACTTCGGTGACTTCTCCGCCTGTCTATTTGCACATGGAGGACTTCTCAAGATATCAGGATACCCTTCCATCACCCCACCACCGCCATCCCAACTTGACTTTCAAGAACACATTTCAAGCTCTGGCCAGAGTCCCGTTCCTCAAATTCATGTGTTCTCTCCTTTCTACCAGAGGGTTAGAGCCTATGCCTCAACCTATCCAGAGTTCAAATCAAAGAGTCCCTAGTGTGATTCAATTGTTTGCCTTTCAAGTTTCGCAAATTTTCCAATCTCCCACTCACGTTTTTACCAAAAAAAAAAAAAAAAAAAAAAAATTGCGCTAAATTCTGAGGATTCCAGGCAGGCCGTCCATAGAGAAATAGCTTTTTCTTGCTCATTCCCTTGCAATGCCAATCTACACATGGGTTTTTAGAAAGCCTTCATGGCTGTCTATAGTTGCCTATCAATAATTTGAAGCCTTTGCTTTAGGCAGGAGGCATGTGGCTATGAATAGGGAACAAGTAGATTTGACCCTGGTTCTGCATCCATCTAGCTGTTTCTTGAAAGAGCCTGGATCCTCAGTTTTCCCATCTCTGCAAGCAGGGATAAAGGTGATGAGAATGATAATAATCATTATATGCAGACCTTCCCCTTTCATCTTACAGAGCCTTAGTGGGGCTCAAATGAGATTATATCTGTAAAATCCCTTGGTAAAGGAAAGATTCCATGAAAATGTCAGTTACTTTTACTAAGTGGCAGGTAGTGAACTATCTGTGCCTAGATCCAGACTGAAAGTATCTCAGGCAGGAAGCTCCAAGGGGTGTATGTTTATAGCGTCCAGGCAATGATCTTTTTTTTTTCCATGAACGAAAATACCTCTTTTTGGTATCTATTGACTCTTTCTCTCTCTCTTTCTGTCTCTCTCTCACCTTGCACCTCTCCCCAATGTTCTCTAAATTTGTCCAGAACTTTCTTTTTCCTAGAAATCCAGAGAGCAAAGTCAGGGCCTGGTACCTGCAGGTAGGTTGACACTGGTGTCTGATGATGAGGCTGCCCAGTCCCATCAGGAGCCTCAGCCAAGGAGGGACCTGGGCACACTCAGGTCCCCATGGTTGCCCATTGAATGGAGTGAGGATCAAGGTGGGAATGACTGGGTGGTGGCTGCCACTAGCCCAGGAACATGACAACGTGACCACACCACACATATCTCCAACACTCACTCACAGTCTAACCATCTCTTCTTCTCAGTGGGCCCTTCTCCCATTCCAGATCATCAGCACACCCACACCCACCATAGGTGTCTCTCCTCTGGTCTTCCCAGAAGGGTAAAACTCCCAGCCTACCCTGCTCCAGCTCCAGCCCAGGTAGTTGGTGTGTCTCAATTTGAAGAGGGGGTGAGTAGCTTCACAGAAAGAATGGGGAACTCCCCTGACTTCAAGCCAGTATAGTTTGGAAGTTGGGAGTGGGGGGTGCTAAGGGTGGGGAGTATCCTGCCTGTGACCTCTAGGTTATGAAAACTATCTTAGAAGGTGCTTTTAGAAAGAACCAGGAGAACAACCAAAGCATCTTACAGATGCCTGAACAGAGAATGAAGTGTTTCAAGTAAGTGAGTCTGCAAGTTCTCAGCAGCAGACAGATATCCCATCTGGACTGTAGCCAGGGAAGTCCTTTCTCTCTTTCTCTCTCTCTCTCTCTCTCTCTCTCTCTCTCTCATTGCTTGTATGACTTTACAAGCAACTCAGGATCCTTCTAGCAGGCTTTCCCGCTGTCAAACAGAGACTTCATTCTAAAAGGAGAAGTGATAAACAGAGCTCCAGCTCCGCTGGCTCTATATGTTTACTGATTAGTGGAAAACACTGACCAAGGAGACTTTTAAGCCAGTGGTTCTTCAGAATCACCTAGACGCCTCCACCCTCCAGAGATTCTGAGTTCAGGAGTCTGAAGTGGGGCCCCAGGTGATGCCAATGCTGCTGGTCCCAGGACCACATTTTAACAATCAATGTTTTCAGATTTCTCATGAGGAACACTACTTAATGCAGTAGGAAAGAATATTTCAGAGGGAATTTTTTTCTTAAAGAAGCTGCATATTCTGGACTCCAATTTAGTTTAATTTTCTATTCACTCCAGGATGGCAAGCAGTGGATTCCTAATTCTTAAATGCGATTCAGTCTGGACTTCAAATCACTTGTCTTCAGAAAATAAAAGATTTATTCCACTCGGGTGTGTGGACGTGGATGCGCTCATCCTGTGTTCTCAGACAGATTTCAGTCATTAGATGATGCTTTTAAGTCCTGAGTGGATTAAAGTCACACTTCTGTTGGCTGCGTTGCGACCTCTAAGGGAGAGAGAAATCTGGGCGCCCTGGAATCACGTCCCCTGCAGGAGAGTCCCTTTGTCCATTCTCAGGCCAGAAAAAATCTCCCCATCACTCCATTGCGAGTGGCTGACTTTGCTCTGGTCCGGCACTGTATACGTCGGGAAGTCGGCCTGTAGTTCGGGTTGCAGGGAAGCCAGGGCTGGGGGCGAGGGCAGCAGGAGTGCTTGGGGAGCTCGCGGCCAGCGGGAAGCTGAGCGCAAAGGCAGAGGAGCGAAGCAGCCTCTGAAGCTTCCCCGCCTGGGAGAAGAGTTTTTGTTTGGAAGTAGGCGAGACGGGGAAAGAGTTCTGAGCCCCAGCCCGAACAGCCTCCTTTCCGTCCCTTTCCGGGTGCAATCTCCGGGCCAGCGGGCTGGTGTCACGCCGCAGATCCGCTGGCTCAGAGATGAGGCGCAGGGCAGGTTCTGGGTTACATCCGCACACCGCGGGGAACCCAGGTGCGAGCGGGGCACAGCTATCCTGCCAACATCCTTTCTTAGCTTTGCATCCTTCGCTCCAAATGCTGGCTCTGCCCTTGGAAACTCGCTGGTTGCCAACAGCATTCTTCAGAGTCCGCCGGGTTTCCTCCAGAAGTCTGAGAGGAACACGCCTTTGATCTTCGGGTCTGGGCAGGCTGCGCGGGCCCACCCTCCTTCCAGTTCACCGAAAGATTAACCACCTCCAAGGGCTATTTAAGAGCCCCTCCCAGGGCCGAACGGGGAGAAAGGGTGGGAAAGGGAGGAGAGAGTATCCGTTTAGAACGCCCCAGAGTGATGAGAACAGACTTCTCAAAAACAAAGTCAGGCGGTCTTTTGTACCCAGCACTCAGTGTAGTGCCTGACACCTCAATAAGTGTTGAATCGTGAATGAATCATTAACTCTTTGAGGCTCTAAGATAGAAAAGATAGAGAGTAGTGGGGCAAAATGGCAATGGGGCTATAGTGGTTAAATTGAACTTGAACTTGAACCTCTTACCTTGAAGTCTGGGTGCACATTTGAGAAAAGAGTAAAGCAAGTAGGTATGATGGGACTGGGTGAAATCAAGTGGCGGT